TAATGACGGCACGCCACTGATTTCTACCAAGTATATTCCTCAATGTTTTGTCCTAGTGGAATGATGGATACACTGTAATTCTAGGTGGACTAACTGACCAGCAATAACAAATCTTCTGAAAGGAGAATGGACTAAGTAGATGGAGATAACAGCAACAACAGATCATATAAAGTTCTCAAAGATTCATAATAAAGGTTTACTATAACTTAATAGAATTTAATATTTAAGTATTTCAATTGATATAACTATTACACAATTCTATTTCTGTTGAGTTTTCATCATATCTTTATACAGATAATCTTTTATTATATTATTTGAATTAATAATCTAAATACAATATATAAGTACCTTTTGTCTTCTTTCATTTCAACTACTGTATTACACTTCAGGAGATATATGCAGTGGTGATATTCGAAATATTTAACAAAGGGTTCGCTAACAGAAAATTTTTCCTTAACAATTTTTTTTCGCTCAAATGGTGCGTTAGCAACATTAGCGCAAAAACTGACCTTAAGATACCCATATAAATAAAAAAGATGTGTTCGCAAAATTAAGTCAGTTAAAGTTTAACATTGTTTATGCCAGAACTATATATATATATATTATAAATAATAAAAAAAAGTGTTCAAAATGGTTTATTTTGTACATATTTTAATATTTTTCATTCAAAATATTTTATAAACATAAAAATTGGCTTTTTCTCAAGAAAAAACTTTTCTAAATCATTGATTTTATCATTAGGTATTATTATAATAATAGACAAATGTCATCGTCTCTCGAAATACAATATCTTTTTTATTTCGCTGTCGATAGCCCGACGCGTGTTCCGCAGCCATCTTGTATTTTCTCGCGCGCGTGGGATTGTAGGACTTCTCGTATGAGTGGACCTAGTCTCAAGAACTCTCTGGAGTCGATCGCGATTGAACCTCGTTTCAGTCGAGATTGAAACGGTCGATGGAGGTTGCACCAAAGCGAACGGGGTATAAGGCTCTAGTTTAGTAGTGTTACAGAGTATAATATGTATATTTTAATATATTTTTTAAAAGAAACAAACCACTGAGAAATGTTACGTGTGTTTAACAACGGGTTCGGAAAACTTTGAAAATGTTAACAACGGGTTCGGCCGAACCTGTGTGAACCCGCTGAATATCACCACTGGATATATGTATATAGCAACATTTATCTATTTCTAAATATCTAAATGTATAGTTTGTTTCAAATGAAAAGATATTTGAAACAGAATATTATGGCTATTAACAATATATATTTTTTATTCAGGTTTAAATTTTAATTAAAACTGAAATTTAAATAATTTTAATATATAGTATTTCATGAAAATGGCATTAAAACAGTATCAGATAAACCAAAATGATTAAATGAAGTAAATTATTATTAGAAAGAAGGTTTTTGTGATATAATTTTAAAATTATAACATAGTAGATAAACAAAAATAAATATAAAAACAATAACATTGCATATATTGCAGAAAGAGGGGGGAAAACACATATACAAAGTAGACATACTTTTTGTGAGCCAAAGCAGGACACTTATGTTTTGCCAAGTATGGATATTTATATGACTCCATGTTCACTCCTCAATGGCTTTACCCAGCTTGCTTTGCACCTACCTTACTGTCTACATTAACAGCAAGTCAACTAGAGATACATAACCATGCAAGAAATAAAAATGGAAAAAAGAAAAATGACAAGTTCCTTCTTTTCAGATCAGTAGCTGCTTAAATCTTTATTTAATTTTTAAACTTCCTATACTAGTAACACTGTTACTTGCAAGTTTATACTGACAATAACCAGTGTGGAAACTAGAGCTGGATACTAGAATAGAACAAAAACTAAATTGTGACAATTGTAAATTCAAATTGTCTCATGACTCACTTCAATCCAACTGCTACGTAACAGCTGATATGCTCAGAACTGCAGCTTCTTCTGGAAGTACATTTCTTGCACAATATTTCACCAATGAGTGAATTTTTCACATATGATCTGCATGCTGTGTGAATGCCCAATCAATTTCTTGGAAAGTTCTCAGTACTGGAGGCATCAACATTACATTTTGCCAGAAGCATAGTCTTCAATATTGCAACAATCAGTTTTCTTGCTTGTCCATATAGTATTCACATGAAAGCCTTTCAGTAAGTACATTAGTCCCAGAAGACAGAAGAAGCCATCAGATGGCAACTTCAATGGTAATATTCAAGCTACATTCGGATATTGTATTGGCCTATAAGTCAATCAGACTTATAGTTATATACATGTGCAAGACTAATTCCATCTTGCACCAAACTGTTCAACTGCCTGTCAATGCATCCTATGCAATAGATTTAGTGTCATCCAGCAGGCTGTTCCCCATGAAAGTTTTTGACACTCATTACAACTTGCTCCTAAAGCAGGACATTTGTGTATCCCACAAAAACTTGGAGGACAGCAAGATATGAAGCTCAAATGTGGGAGTGTTCTGCCTAAATTGGGATGTATGGACCCTCCTATATGCACATTTTAGGCATATTATAAACATTTATGTTCATTTTTAAAATTTATTTTAGAATGAAAGCTGATTTGTTGTTTGAGTATTTTCATTGTTTCATGAATATATCAAAGAGAAATTTTTTTTTATAAAAAACATTTAACAGTAAGAAATTCTATGTAGTATTTGAAAAAATTTTAAGCTATATTACATATCATATAAGAGTATATTAAAAATCTCATTTAGTAAGAGAAAATTTCCTAATCTGATAGAAGAAATTAAGAATTTCTCAGATTTGTAAATTTAGTTTCAAAATATCAACTAAAAATTATTCTTAGACTATTGAAGAGATTCTGTTTATCCTCACATTTCCCATGTTTATATGGGGTTGGCATTTCCTTCTCTAATTATTCTTAGGCTATTGAAGAGATTATTTTACTAAATTGTCTCAATGTTTTTCAGACTAAAATACATACTATACTAATTAGAATGCTTGCAATCTAGATGCCTCCTTTTAAAAATTCTAATGTCAAACAAATTAAAAGAAAATACTTTTTCTAGAGTATAAATTTTTCCATTTCTTATATTAGATACAGGTATACCTCGCCTTACGTCAGTAATTTGTTCCAGGAGAGGCAACTTAAGTCAAAAAACGACTTAAGTCGAATTTACTTTCACTAGGCTAAACCACAAATAACCATTCCCAGTTCCGTATTTATATAAATGCATTTTTAATTAATAATATATGGTTAATAAGAATCTATTTTAAACTTACAAACAAATTTTAGTTTTTAATATAGTACAGGAAAAAAAAAGTTAACTTAATTTACAAATACATGTATGGTACATACTGTACATACTTGTAAATATACACGTTTACAGTGCATCGCAAACTCTTTATTTGTGAATGTGGTTTGCTCTAAAACATTATAAAATATGATGATTTTGTAAGATTAAATAACAAATACAGTTATTAAAATTATTTTGCAACAGCAGAAAATAAAGTAATTTATGTTAAATTTACCAATATAGAGTGGCACTGACAACGACACCAAAAAGTAGATATTGGAACTACCATGGAAAATGCCAATATTGAGCACTTAAAGACCAATAAATAAGACAACAACACAGTCAGAGGTTTTCATATTTCATTTGCTAGGATTTATGATGATTATATTAACATTTACTGTAAATGTACATATTTTAATATAATTTTATGTACTTTTAACACTTTTCTAGTGATATTACGACTTAAATATTTATGGTGGACAGACAAAGTCAAATAAAATGACAAACTTTTTGATTTTCATTTTTCCATGTATTTTTTTTTTTTTTGACAAACAACATATAACCGAGAATGACTTAATTCAAAACGATGTAACCTGAGGTATACCTGTAATTGATTACAGCTGCAGTGTGATCAAACTTAATTAAAAGATTACAATTTTATAAGAAAGAATGCCAAGACAAGAGTAATAAGGTCTCAATCTATCTGTAGCAGTCAAAGTAGTAGAGAGAATGAATGTGCATTGTATTGNTATGATATTTTATAGTGTGCGCATTAATAGTTTACATCGCTTAATTAGGAAAAAATATATTGAAATTCATTCACTGAATTCCCCAAAAATGTATTATACTTAATTAAAAGATTACAATTTTATAAGAAAGAATGCCAAGACAAGAGTAATAAGGTCTCAATCTATCTGTAGCAGTCAAAGTAGTAGAGAGAATGAATGTGCATTGTATTGTATTGTATTGCTCTTTGGTATTTTAATATATTATTGGCATGTTCTAAGCTTTATGCTCTTGAAATATATAATAAATAAGTTCTATGAGTGATAAAATGTAATTTCATAAACTATAGTTGAAACGATAAAAAGGATCGTATTACATTTATACATAACAGCAAATTCTAAATGTAAACATAATTGGATTATTAAACCATTCTACAATAATAATCTATTTCTAAATATCTAAATGTATAGTTTGTTTCAAATGAAAAGATATTTGAAACAGAATATTATGGCTATTAACAATATATATTTTTTATTCAGGTTTAAATTTTAATTAAAACTGAAATTTAAATAATTTTAATATATAGTATTTCATGAAAATGGCATTAAAACAGTATCAGATAAACCAAAATGATTAAATGAAGTAAATTATTATTAGAAAGAAGGTTTTTGTGATATAATTTTAAAATTATAACATAGTAGATAAACAAAAATAAATATAAAAACAATAACATTGCATATATTGCAGAAAGAGGGGGGAAAACACATATACAAAGTAGACATACTTTTTGTGAGCCAAAGCAGGACACTTATGTTTTGCCAAGTATGGATATTTATATGACTCCATGTTCACTCCTCAATGGCTTTACCCAGCTTGCTTTGCACCTACCTTACTGTCTACATTAACAGCAAGTCAACTAGAGATACATAACCATGCAAGAAATAAAAATGGAAAAAAGAAAAATGACAAGTTCCTTCTTTTCAGATCAGTAGCTGCTTAAATCTTTATTTAATTTTTAAACTTCCTATACTAGTAACACTGTTACTTGCAAGTTTATACTGACAATAACCAGTGTGGAAACTAGAGCTGGATACTAGAATAGAACAAAAACTAAATTGTGACAATTGTAAATTCAAATTGTCTCATGACTCACTTCAATCCAACTGCTACGTAACAGCTGATATGCTCAGAACTGCAGCTTCTTCTGGAAGTACATTTCTTGCACAATATTTCACCAATGAGTGAATTTTTCACATATGATCTGCATGCTGTGTGAATGCCCAATCAATTTCTTGGAAAGTTCTCAGTACTGGAGGCATCAACATTACATTTTGCCAGAAGCATAGTCTTCAATATTGCAACAATCAGTTTTCTTGCTTGTCCATATAGTATTCACATGAAAGCCTTTCAGTAAGTACATTAGTCCCAGAAGACAGAAGAAGCCATCAGATGGCAACTTCAATGGTAATATTCAAGCTACATTCGGATATTGTATTGGCCTATAAGTCAATCAGACTTATAGTTATATACATGTGCAAGACTAATTCCATCTTGCACCAAACTGTTCAACTGCCTGTCAATGCATCCTATGCAATAGATTTAGTGTCATCCAGCAGGCTGTTCCCCATGAAAGTTTTTGACACTCATTACAACTTGCTCCTAAAGCAGGACATTTGTGTATCCCACAAAAACTTGGAGGACAGCAAGATATGAAGCTCAAATGTGGGAGTGTTCTGCCTAAATTGGGATGTATGGACCCTCCTATATGCACATTTTAGGCATATTATAAACATTTATGTTCATTTTTAAAATTTATTTTAGAATGAAAGCTGATTTGTTGTTTGAGTATTTTCATTGTTTCATGAATATATCAAAGAGAAATTTTTTTTTATAAAAAACATTTAACAGTAAGAAATTCTATGTAGTATTTGAAAAAATTTTAAGCTATATTACATATNAAAGATAAAAACTTTAAATTTTTTTATAATAGTGTTTTAATGGATTGAATCTTTCATATAATGAATTTTTTATGTTCAAAGAAACCAGGACTGAAGACTCATGAAAAAAGGGTCCAAAATCTTTGGAAGCCTTGTTTTAGAAATGAATAAGTTATGATATTTTATAGTGTGTGCATTAATAGTTTACATCACTTAATTATGAAAAAAAAATATTGAAATTCATTCACTGAATTCCCCAAAAATGTGGTATTATTAAACATTAATTAGTTCATTAGTAAATTCTTGTAAATTTTTATAAATTTTTCATTTTTCCATTACATAATAGTTTTCATCCACTTAAAACTAACATTTCCCTATATTGAAATAATTTTATATTTGCAAATTTCTTGAATAAGTTTTACATAATTATATATGCAAAAACAGTTCTTGTTAATTCAATTATCTGAATAATGTTTCAATTTTGTATGTAATCGACACAACGATATTCCCCAATAATGTCTCATTTCAATTGATAAAAATTTTCAAAAGAAACAGAAATAAAATTTAAAAAAAAAAAAAAATCAGCAAAAGTGCATTTAGTTTATGAAAAACAAATAATTATAAATTCCAATATAATAATGAATTCACCAGCAATAATATGTTTAAATAAGATTTATAACTTATTTGATCTATAGGGTGATAATTTAATGAACATTTTTTTATCCATTTTCAAACTTGGTTTCAATATAAATAATTAGAGATTATTGATATTATTAGTTATGTACTGTACAGGTATATTAAATCTAATTTTTGAAATAGTGAAGTCACAAAATCTTTGAGAAAGAAAATTACAAAACTTTCTATAAAACAAATTTTGCATCCAAATTACTTGAATAAAAGATTATCTGTATTATTTCTCTTAAATATCTTTGCAGTTACAGATCATAAATTCATATTATGAACAACAGTTAAATTAATACAATCATAGAAACAAAATAAATTTTTATAGTTATACTGAGGAAAACTTAAATATATATTTAATCTTTATTGATTTTTAGAATATATAAAAAAGTAAAGATTTTTTTTAAGTTGATTTACGGAATGTAGAGCACTCAAATTCATAATTAAATTATAAATTCAAGAGACACATTATATATATAAAATATAAATTAATCAATTTATAAATTGAATATGATCTTTCCTACAATTAATAATTTGACAGAACAGGAATGAATTGTTTAATAGAAACAGAGAAATAGGAAAATTTTCTTTTTAAAATAGAATTTTCTATTTAAGTATTCTTATTAGGTTTTTATTGAATAAAAAATGTAGCAGCAGTGTGTCACAAATAGATAATTTTAAAAACTTAGTATATTACAAAATTTAAACTTTTTCAAAATATTTTTTATGTAGTTTATTAAAGATCTGATTAGCAAACTGAACTGATGAATATTCTTAATTAATCATGAAGGTTAAATCTTGTATTTTAACTAGTCACAAATAAATTTATAAAATAAAAGAACAGTAAATACATATAATGTTACTATTAAAGTATTATATATTATTTTTATAAAATCAATATTTTAATGTAACAAGCTTTTAGTGGGACANTAAAAAGGACACTGATTCATAATTTCATTAATTTCATAAAATATATATAAGCATTAAAAATTTTTCAAATTACCTGTTAGATATGAGGTTGTAGGGAATGTACAGTCTAACAATTGATACCAATATGAAGTCTTTTTCTGTAGGAAAAAAAATTTTTTTTTTATTAATTTTAACTTCTTATTTTATTTTTTTTTTATTATTTTAACTTCTTAAACTCATGGAATATAATCATTCTAATAAAATTTCATTAATTAAAACATTTTTATTTCAACAAATGTATGCTAAGATTTTCAGTTTTTGCTAATCATTTCACCAAACACAGATCTCATTCATCATCATATGCAGCATACAGGGCAAGTCAAAGTCCCTTGTACCGTTTTCATTCCAAAAAGCACTGAAGATATATTAATTTTGTTAACAGTTACATAGAAAATCATGTATGGAGAAGTGGATGGGACCTTTTTGCTGTACAGTGAAATTTACTTTTCCACCTTAAGGTATCTTGTCATAGATTGCATCATATATATTTTAAAACTGTTTGTTTTTAATATTAATTTAATTCTACTCTATGGGGTCTGCAAAATCTTTTCTTTATTAAGGGGGTCTGGTGGAGTTTGAGAAACACTGGAGTATTGCATATTGCATAATAATGCAATTCTTATATAGTGTGTTTAAACAATATATAAGAATATTTCAAAAATGACATTGGCACTGATACCAAAACTGTATATAATAAAAATTCTTGATACCACTATTACAACTTTTGACATCAGAACAATTACTTGACATCCGTGATATCACAATTTTCCATAGCAAAATAATTATGAATGTAAAACACAGTCATTGAATGAAGGTATCATACTTTATTGTATTAAAATGTGTTTATACACGTATAAGATAAAATGGTAATAATTTGATTGAAACTTCCTCCAAATATCTTAATTACATTATTATAATAAATGAATGTACATACCAATGCCCACTCTCTTGCTTTTTGGGTAACTGTTGTGATATCTTTCTCTGCACACCATAATGCTCCAATAAAAGCACCAATGCTAACTCCACCCACCATATCTATAGGAATTCCAGCCTCTAAAATAGCTTTTATCATTCCTACATGTGCTGCTCCTCTAAAAATTTTAATATTGTCTTAATTACATATAAATTGAATTAATTTTAAATTTAAATGAGATCATACCTAGCACCACCACCACCTAGTACCAATCCATAAGTAGTGCCGGTCAAAAATCTCGAAAGCCGAGAGAAATCAGAATGTATATTTGGTTGGGTTTTAAATATCTTTTTGTATTGGTCCATCTATTTAAAGAAAAGGAAATTAGATTTTATATATAAATTTAAAAAATATCAAATAATTAAACTGTATTTTATATATTAAATATTTTGAATTATATTACTATAATTTAGATAATTGAATATGTTAACTACTATTCATCCAGTGATAGACAAGCCAATACTAATTTTTTAAACTTAATTCATTACATAAATAAGAAATAAATCTTATTTTATAATCTAGTATATGAAAATTGAAAACTAAAGTTAAGCAAATTCCCGATATTTGTAAAAAGGTAAAATTAAATTTAATTGCATTAAAGAAAGTCCTAAAAGATACTTTCAGTGTTAGTCCTTATACTTCTTAATGTATCTTCATATGAGTAGTTTTTTAATGAAAAGATAGATTGCTAATTGAAATGCAACACATTATTTAAATATTCTATTATTATTAAAGATGAACATTATTCTTCAACAAACTTAAACACATCATAAAAACATTTAATTTGTATTATTTGTCAGAATTAAGTATAAATACAAACCAAAGTATAAGTACTATATATCAAAATCAAATTTCAGAATGGTTTTAAAAGAAAATGATTAATGAAATTATATCTTAATACAATAGAGGCATCCATTATCCGAATATCAATCAACCGAAACATCAGTTAACTGAAAGCGTTCCAGTCAGACTGTCATACTAAAACAAACGTTTTTGATACTAAATTAACTTCTAAAGTATAATTTTTTTTGTTTTTATATTTTTCAATATATTTATTTTGCTTGTACAAAATAAAGAAATAATTTTTAACGATACAATAGCCATGATTATTATTATAAAAATTTTCGTTAGGCTTAACATAAACAAAAATTCAACGCAAAGCAACACGCAACGGAGAAAAATTTAAACACGGGATACACTAATATACTATATTAATAATGTATTTTTCATACATAATCAGTTATCTGAAAAATCAATTTTCTGAACAATCCCCAATTAATTTGGATAATCAACGCTCTACTGTATATTTCAGTTAAATTATAATATCTATATAAAAATAATTTTTAATAATAAGAATTCTATTATTATTTTATTTGAAAAGTTATTATTTATTAAACAGATATGAATATGATGAATGGATTGTAAAAATTACCATCTTAGTATGAGATTTTTTGGCAAACATTCGTTTTGGACAACGAATATGATGATGCGAGGAACACCAACTGCGCATATTTAGCCACTGAACAGTATTTCTAGGTTTTAATCCATCATCACGGTGTAAAAGAATCAGTTCCTTTTGAGTCTTGATGCTCATATGTTCAAGTTGTTTTTCAAGCTATTAAAAACAAAATTTTTTTTTTAATTTAATAAATGGAAATGAAATGTGATGCCAGTTTTATTGCATTGTTAAATTATTATCCACTTCTAAACATATATCATTAATTACATATATCAAACATTTTAAAATTAAATATTTGTTTCACAAGATTAAATTCAATAAATTTATTTTTGTTTTATGATCTGTATAGATATAAAGATATATTGTCAATTATAATCCAGTTCTAAGAATAAATATACAGGTATTCCTTATATAGCATGGTAGTTAGATTCTGAAAAAGTGCCATGTTATGCAGATCCATGCTATATGAAACAAAGAACTAATGCAAAACATAGGGTTACATTCCAGAAGTTAACAAGAGTATACTTTTTCTATTAAAAGAAATATGCTTATGAAAGCAATCGATAATTAACTAACAATTACAATTAAAAATATGTATTACATGTTAATATTTTAGTTAAACAAGGACATTTTCTTTTTACAAAGTATCTTCGTCATCTCAGCTTTTTTGTTGATATTGATCAGAAGTATCAGCAATGTTTTCATATTTTTTATTTTTATCATAAAAAATTTTTTATGGATGAAGAAAAAATATGTTAATGGAAAATTTGTTCTAGCAGGTCGTGTTTGTTCAGTCAAGTACTAAACTTTTTTCCAGAATTTGTGTTTGAATACCAAATTGTTCAAGTACATGGATATTGCCATATTTTGTTTGTTATTTTACAAATGATTGTTTACCCACAGTTAAAAAAAGTTAACAACACTTACCTAAAAATGTTTATTTAAACATTACTAAATATGAACATTAATCTATAAAAAAAAAAACACTGTGGCAGTCTTAAAGGCTAAAGTCTGAAGACAATGATGATGACAATTGGTTGATAGGAAAGTTAGGACAAGGAAAAAAAAAATTGCAATATTATTTTTCATTAAAGTAAATCTGACAAAAAGCACAAAATACAGTAAAACTTCTCTAACTCAAACATCTGTAACTTGAAGAAAACAAAGCACTTGATAGGCCTCAATGAAATAGCAATAGCATAAGGATTTAACATCTCCAACTTTTATTTATTAACTCGAATTTTCTTCAAGTTGAAGTTACCCCCAGACTTGAATCCCCCAACACTGATTTATGTTACTTTCAACTTTCCTGACTTGATTTTAGTATTTAATCTATCCAAATGATTCTAATAATCAGATTTTTATGAAATTTTCAGACAATTAGTTTTATCTATTCTCCAACATCAATTTTCAAACAACATGAGTCCAAAGCACGAGGTCCTCTTGCTTTATCTCAACAAGATGTACCTGCAAAACTGTTCAATTCCACTAGTTACATTGGACATTTTGCTGAAAGGCATTACACAGGCTGTTTAAAACAAAAAAGAAAAACCTCAAAGATTCTTTATATAATGCAAGAAAGGTAAAAACTACAAATCTATTCACAATTGGCATTTTTTACTCTGTCGTTCTCTAAATTGACTTGTCTGAAACTCAGTTTTTTCCTGCCCCTTGGAGCTTCAAGTTAGAGTGATTTTACTGTAATTTGAAATTTCAACATTCTAAAATCCATGGACAAATTTGAGTCAAAACACATGCTTACTTGAATAAAAAAAAAAAAATCAAATAATAAGTGTACATTTAAAAATTGTGAAATTTTGTGCAGAGTATTTCCAAAACAGTAGAAGAGAAGGTGGTATTATGGAACCCCATTTTCATTATAGTGAATTGTAAACAAGGTATCATAACTACACCCACACTTTTTGTGCCAAAAGTATCGTAACTATTAAACTAAACATTCCTAATTGGATTTTTTGCTAGTATAACTATAAAAATGGTTTTTGAAGGCTTCTGTACGAAAAGTCAGAAAGTAGCCTTAGGGAAGCCAGGTGGTAATATGAAACCTTACTGTATGTTTTCAAAAAATGCTTTAATGTATCCAAAAACAAATAGGAAAGTACAAAGCAAGTTAAATAATTAAAAAATCATTTACTCCAATGTATTTTATCAAAAAAATGCTTTTATAATAGAAAAATATGACCTCCGTCAACAATATATATTCCAGCAGCTCTTTTTCAATATTCTCAGGAAGAATTGGCTTTTTACCTAGTGTCTTTTTCACAAATTGCTCTGGACAAATGTCTGCTTGCAAAGAGAAAGTTCAGAGGAGTCAGGTTTCCAGAGGAGTTGGATTCCAAATTAAAAGCACCGATGGGGACCGTATTTCACTCATTTCCATCTTGGGTTAACTTAATTCCTGTCGACACCAAATGCTAAAAATTTAAACATTAGACAGATTAGCATGTACCCCTAGTCCTCTAGAATGGGACACATGCACCAGTGACCTACAACTACATGATTTATATTTTAGAAATAATTAAATTCCTTATGATTCAAAATTTTGGAATTGCAAAAAACACAAATGTCTTGTTTCACTGAGCTCAACCGCAAAACTGAAATGGGAGGTATTCTCCCCTTGCTATGGATGGCTGTCTAGTGCAGTACAGCCACAATTTGCTAAGGTTTGAATCTATTATCAGTATGAAATGGAGGGGTTCCATAATACCACCTTCTCCTCTATTACAGAGAAACCAGAAGTCATGTTATATGGAGGAGATCCCCAATTTTCAAGGCCATGTTAGAGCGAAACAGTGTTGTAGAAGTACAGTAAGACCCCAATTAACACTGATTCAATACAACATGGTCTGCTTAAAGCCTAAAAAAATGTACACTGATTCAAATTATTGCAACATTTCATTGATTCATATATAATACAATTATTCCTGAACACAAACCAATCAGCAAATGATAGCAATTCGTTGTAGCGCTGTACTTTCCTTAAATCTGTTTGTTTGGTGCAATTTTGGAAAAAAATATATCATCATGGATGCCATGAGCAATATCAACTTCATTGGCAAGAATTAACTGATAAATGCATGAACAGCATGTGGAAGAAGTTTGATTAGATTGACCAAATTGTCAACCTAATCAAACTTCTTCCAGCAGGACTAGGAGATGTAAATGAGTAGGATATTGAAGAGTTACTGCAGGTTTCTGGCAAGAGTCTAACCAATGTCAATCTTCAAGAACAAGGAATTCATGTAGAACCAAAGAATAGAGATTCTGAAAATGAAGAACCCAAAGAATTTCTCTACAGATTTCCTTAGCAAAAGTTTGGTAATGGTAACCGAAATCATTAATCAAATTGTAGCAAATGATCCAGATTTTGATAGGAGCGCAAAAGCAAGACGAGACATTTTGATTGCAATTTCCTGCTACCGACATTTGCTTAAGGAAAGAAAAAAAAACCGCAAAAAATGAAACTAGACAATTTCATTGAAAAAAAAATTTCAGAAGATCCAAGACCATCACAAAAAACAAAGTTTACATGTTTGTGTGTATTTAACATTTTTTTAATATTAATTTGCATAATGATATAACTTAAAATTAAAGTAAAATCTGTTTATTTTTGGTTACGTGTTCCCTTTTTCCTATTTACTCTGTTAAAATGACCTCGTTTAACACTGTTTCATTTAGCGCTTTGACATCTAGTAACATATCCCCTGCATTAAGTGGGATTCTACTGTATTGTGTCGTACAGTACAAGGGATACTGGTAATTAGTTACTAATACATTATTATAGAATTAACCTAAAAGCAGAACTAATGGATGATAATTGAGGACTTTCTTTTACTTACTTCTCCAACAGTAGGTTCTTGATTAGCTAATGCTACTATAAGAATACAGTCAGCTTGACGAATACATCGTTGTGTCCATGGTGTGAACTCCAAGTCACATTGATACAATACAATTTTATGTTGATCTTCCTGCTGAGCAAGCCAAGCACATAATCTGTATTCATTTGTACTAAAAAAATTTTAAAAATTTTATATTATTTTTTTTTGCTTATTGAATAATCTGATCAGCTGTATTATTAGTAATTATAACTAAATAAAATAGGATAATTATTAATCATTAAAAAATTCTTTAAACACACACAGTTTACTTTCAATAGATTAAACTTAGTTAACTTGAATCTCTAAGCTAAAATTTAACTTTTGTTCTCATATAACATCCATAACATCAATGCATTTTCTCTCTAAATTAAAATAATTTTGAGCATGTTTTGATAGCTAAATCTAGGATTCTAGTGAATTTATTTCAAAGCCTAATATTCTATATTTTGTTGCATTTTTATGAAACATTAAGACAAACTTGTAATAAAATCAAACATTATGTACACTTGAAGCAAAGTTACTTGACTTGTTAGCATTTCTGAAGCCACAACACAAATATACAAAAAGTTTAAAAAGGCACTTCATACTTAATGTAACAAACAATTAGCTAATCAAGTTTTACTGATAATGCTCTTTTTAAAATTTTTGGAAAGGCTTTACAGTTGATATGTTCTATAACAACGGTGGGCAACCCCCGGCCCACAGGCCAGCTACAGCCCCCGAAAAGTTTCTATCCGGCCCGCGAGATGTTTAGAAGAAATTATAAATAAATATTTTTCGATGTAATTCGTCTAGTTTAAATTGAATATTATTTTCTGAAGTGTTGCGGCAGCAATGACAGGAAAGAATAAGAGAGTCATTTCCTTATTCAAACAAAAAATGGGAAAACAGAATTTTTCTAAATTATTTATATCTCATCACATCATCCATCAAGAAAATCTATGTGCAAAAGCTATGCAATTAGAAAATGTAATGTCTGTCATATCCAACTACATAGTGCTGTTTTTATTGTGTTTAAAGTCACTTAGATTTTACAAATAGGTGAGCCGTTCACAGCCCGGCACACGCATTTGTAAAATCTAAGTGACTCATACAACATGGAATTCATATAAAACGGAATAATCAACAGTGTTATAGGGGGTCAACTGTAGTAATTAATTTCTTTTTATTTATTTATTTCATATTTGCAGACTAAAAATTTACAGGTCAAAAGGTGTCAATTAACTACTATGGCCCGTGGAAAAAACGTAAAATTTATTCTGGCCCATGTTATAAAAAAGGTTGCCCACCCTTGTTCTATAATATGCTTCTTGTCTAGCTTTGGTATATACTTGTGAGCACTATGTTGGCCTCTTTATTCCTAGACTTATTACACAGTCACTGGAAACAAGAGTAGCCTTAGGGAAAATAAACTGATTTTCTAAGGCTGATCTTGTGTCCAGTGACTGTGTAATAAGTCTAGGAATAAAGAGGCCAACATAGTGCTCACAAGTTGATATGTTACATATGAAACAAGATATTTTCAAGAAATCAAGCTCATCTCAAGCATTGTCAGGCAGAAACAGAAGATCATTGTGATAATAAACCTCTCACTAATAGTATAATTATTATTTTGTATATGTACAAATGTAAGAAATAAAAATATAGCTTATTTAAATCTATTGTTTGATTGAAATATCTCTCATTAAAGTAATGATAATTTTTGAAATTTCAATTTTGTTAAACTCAAAAATTCTTCATTCTTTCTACTTCAAATTATTGAGAATCAACTAATATTTTTAACCTTAAATTTTTTTAAAAAAATATAGTATTTCATATTAAGATATGTTTCACTTTAATGTTCATAAATCTGTCAAAATATTGATAGTATGTAGTATTTTGCATGTATTTACTTTTTTTAAACTGTTATAGATATATAAATTTTTAATGAAAATTGAATATCAAAGTTTTAGTAATATATTAACTATGTAAATATTAGGCGATCATTTGGTGATGTTTCTGTATGTAAATATTGGTTTGATTTATTTGTTTTTGACAATGCAACATATGGGAAATCTGCTGAGGAGGGACACCGCCTGGGAGGACTTTCTATAGAAAACTGGCACCTATTTATGCATGAATTTGAAGAAAATCTAAAATCTCCATATAGTCAACCCATTAATGAGACAAATCCACAACCAACTACCACTGTTAAGTGATTTTATCCATTCATCCACTGGTGGGCAACTATTTTATTCCTAGAAGTATATCAAAGGTACTGAACAGTTTAATCACTTATAATCAATATTTTCAATTTGTAGGTTTCAGAATTTTATATGTTAAGCATATGAGATATCTAACTCTAATAGATATATCTAAAAATTAAATTTACCCTATTTAAATAGTAAAAATAATCCACAAATTTTCTTCACTATTTCCATAGGAAGCAGTTTCACAATATTTTTTGTAACAGTTTCTTATTGCTTCTTAATCTCTATCCCTTCTTTATTTATATTGCTATATTATATGTAAAATCTTTTTATAACTATATTTTATTAAAATAAACACCAAACTATTCTACATCCTCAATATTCGTGGACATCAGTGTTCAGGAATTCAATCATTTGTGATCAGAAATTTATGCATCAAAATTTCAATTTCACAAAAGGTTTTGACCTTTCAGCAAATGGGAAATTACCTATACATTTCCAAATTAACATTTATATCTATCTACCTTCTCAGCAATGCTATCTAATTATAACAATAAATCGGGCATTGTTAGGACGGGACACTCACCTTCCATCGCAATGGAAATGGAGAAAATAGAGATTTACAGAAGTAAGATGAGGGACAGATGCCTAAATGCAAAAGATGCAAAAGCATTACCAACAGCTTGGAAATATAAAATTGAGAAAAATATGGGTTTTAATAATCCATAAACATTTTCATGATCTGGAGTTTTTAGTATTTCAAACTCAAAGTTATAATTTTTCTTTTACTTTTTCTTTTATTTTCATTGTTAAATTGAAACGCGATTTTAGATTACATTTTATCATATATTTATTTTAATTTACATTGTTCATGTTATTGTCAAGTTACAAGTTTTTTGATATTACTCTTAACTATTTATTTATACACAAAAGTTGTAATAAGTTCAAATTCAAACGAATTTCGAACGAATGATTCCAATGCAACGAAAACTGTTAAAACCTGAGGATGGCCTATAAGAATTGGCCGAAAATGTTTGGAATAAACAAAAATAACTCGGCAAAAACAAATCAGGTGTGTGTGATTTATTGTTATAACATTTATATCATTGGTGAGTTCTCCATTGAATGATTTGACATCACATTTTGTACAAAAAAGAAACACTTGCATAATTTTGCAATTATATATTTTACAATATACAAATTTTCATTAATCTGTCCACTAAAACAGAATCCATAGCAAGAGTCAATCGAGTTCCTACAGCAAATTTAACTTGCTTTATGGAAGCCACTTGTTAAACACTTACCAGTCTCGTTCAGGCCATTGAGGTCAACAGTGAACCAATACTGATGTTATGTGCCTCAAAAAAAATTCAGTGGTCTATTTAGAAATGTTCTCTCATTGTTTAGTCAATCATTGACTATAGAAACATACTGCACATATTACTGTAAACTGGAGGATGCCTGCACAAACTGGATGTTTGAGCAATGCTATAAGAGCACTGCACTCACTTATTTGTATGGTGTCTGTCATAAATTATGTTATTGTTTACTTTATTTTTGGGTTTGGCTAAAATGAAATGATTTTTGTAGCACTATAAACCACTGCATAGTATATTTGTTTAATAAAACCATTCATTTTTCTGGAATGTTTTTAAAAAACAACAATAGTACAATGTTTTGGAACAAATTACAAATTTAACATTGAAAATGGAACACAAAGTTCAAGAATTCAATGTTAATGAAAAATTACTTGGTCCTGATTATTCACAAACATGGGGATCAGAGTACACCTTACTCCTGTAAAGATCAGATTTAATAAAGATCTTTTTTTCTTAATTTTCTGTTATTGTTTATTTTATCATCATATTTTATATTTACCTTTCCTTCAAACCTAATTTGTAATTATTAATTTTTTTATTTTTAATGCCTATGCATGTGAGGTCCCACAATGTATATCTATGCACTTAGTCAAACTTCCATATTACAAATTTCAATATAGCAAATTCCTCTGTATAATGAATTTTTGCATTGTACACTGCAATTTAGATGCAATTTAACATATATTTTTGGCTCTTTCAGCCAAAAATATATGTTAAATTGCATCTAAATAACAAAGTTAAATTTCTAAGTAACAAATTTTTTGTAATATGTAAGGACAATCAATCATAAAAACACCATCCAAGTTGAGTTTGAATTTAGGTTCAATTTCAAGTATCAATCTGTAAACCCTTTGTAAAACCACAGCCCAGGTATGGGAAAATACTGGTCGTTAGCTTTTGAACCATCATGTAATCTGCCCCCACATGGCTACTGGTTGTAAAGAAAAGAGAGATCATCTGTCAATGAGGGCATTTGGACCTAAGCAATTTACAATTAACAAATGTTTTAGAGTTACAGTATTTACATATTAAAATAAATCAAATTTAATACTGTATTATACAGTATTTCTTAGTAATATTGTAACACATCATGGTGAGTCGGGATAGCTGTGTGGATGTGCTAATTTGGGCTCCTGGATTTCGCGCAGTTTCTCCTGGGATTTAACTGATATAGTGAAGTTTGTTATATCGATCGATTCGGGATTTCGCAAGGACCAAGATGATACCAAAATTGTAAACGTAAGCCAAGAATTTCGGAGGTAACGGACGTTTGAAATTTGGGATTTTCGGAACCGAATAACCGGACAGTAGAGATCGTTTTACCGGAAATTTTCACTGGACCTTGTGGATATTTTAACTCATCATCATCATCATCAATATTTATTAAGGTATACATTTATACATATTCTGGTACCGCAGTAAGCATCACCAGAATAATAGACAAAACATTATATTGATTATTTACATACTATTTTATATTACAGAAATATTGTGTATATATAACGTTAATATTTTGATAATTGTTTGTGTGATCATAGTAACAATAATTAGATACAATGTGTAGATACAAGTATATGTACGTTAAATATATGATAATTATCTAAAGGTAACAAAAGAGAAAAACAAATAAGGAAAATAAAATAAAATAAATAAGGAGTTGTAACAAGTAGTTGCTTGAATCCAGTAGCACCAAAGATGCAGAAAGTCACTGGAACACAATGTTCAGAAAAGTTTGCCAGAGCGTCATTTAGAGGATATTGAAGAGGATGCACAATAAGATTCACTATCGAAGTTGACTGGTCTTCTTAAACATGGAGAACACAGCACTAAAACGTTGAAGATGTAATTTGAAGCACAATAGGCACTCTAATTGATTTTAACCCGTATACACAATACACAGAATGCATAATACGATACCCTTCAGAAGTTGACTTGTCTTGTTAAACATGGAAAACACAGCACTAAGACACTGAAGATATGATTTATAGCACAATAGGCACTCTAATTGATTTTAACCCATATACACAATACAGAGAATGCATAATATGATACTCTTCCACAGTTGACTTGTCTTCTGAATCATGAAGAGCACTTAGCACCAAGATCATCGTAGTGTCACTTGTAGAGGTCGTATTGATGACACAAAACATATTCTCATATCTAAATAAGTGCACCTCAAAATTCTTATCTCATCTTCACATTCGTAGGTACCTGAAGAATCTCTAATATATACAATAAAAAGGGTATTTAATTACTATGAACATTGTAGTTACTTAGCAATATCACAATATACAGTTGTACCCATATGTGCGAAGAGGATTCAGCCTATCTGCTCAAAGCAAAACCAGAACAATCACACCAACTTCACAAAATAATATGAAGTTGTTGAAAAATAACTCATGTATAGGCACAGCGACACTTGTAAAAAAAAGTCTAATGACATTGTGTAGTCCCATCAATGTCTCAGATGTCCAATGTCTCAGGTGTCGCCATAAATACAGTTATAGTATTTTAATACGAGATTATTAATACTTATTCAATACGGTTAGAGCGTTAATGCCCATAAGTAATACCATAATTAACTTATAGTTAATAAACATAACTAATTAACCATAAGAATCAAATGAGTGGTAATAAGTGTATAATTATAGACGGGCGCAGCAGGGTATACATGCGCAATAATATCACAAATAATGAATACAGACATACAGATGTAATTAACAATTAATTATAGATGGTTTGGTGTGTTATAGAATAAGTCTTTCTCGATAGTTCAAAGAAAGCATTATAAATTTCCCTGTTTATCCAAATGTCCGATAAGTTGCAGGGCCAATTGACACCATATTTTTCTAGTAACAGTTTCAGTTCAAATCTTTCTTTTTCCAACATCACGCAATCAAAAAAGTAGTGTTTCGGTCCATCCTCAACTAAACAAGTAAGACAATGATTATTAGATCTGTTCGTAAACCTATGCAAATAGCTGGCAAATTTCCCATGTCCGCTAAACATTTGCGTTGTATAATAGTTGGGGATATACCATTTCAAATTAAGTAAGTTGCGTATATCTGGAATAAATTCATACGTAATATGATTACAGTTTTCATTCCAGATCTCCTGCCATATCTGCACACAATCATTCCATAGGAGGCGTCGTAATGTTTGTAAACTAATTTTATTATATAATATTGGCAATGTTGTATTTTCAGCTGCTTGTTTGGCCAAAATATCAGCCCTTTCATTACCTGATATTCCACAGTGGGCTTTAACCCATGAGATTTCATAGGTGGAGGTAGAAAGCCTGATCATATGATCAGGCTTTCTACCTGATCATATGATTATTCCTGATCTCCTCAGCCATATGATGTAAATTATCTCCATAGATGACGTTATATGCAGAGAGTGAGTCAGTCAAAATATTGATGTGAGCATGATTGAATGTACTATCAGACCAGGTAATGGCATTTTTGATGGCGTACATCTCCGCTTGAAAAACAGTACAGCAATTATTTAAACGAATTTTCTGTTGGAAAATTTCACTGTTGTCATAATAGACCACAAAGCTGCAACCCACGCAGTCATTTATGCGAGACCCATCTGTATATATTTTTATATTAACTGAATGATTGTTATCATGTAAGTGGCTTAATGGTATGCCATACTGAATTGTGTTTTTAAAGGGAAAAGACCATTCCACGTCATTTGGAGTTAGGCTGCCAGAGATAAGGTTGATGCAATTTCCCCATTTAATTTGTTGTAGTTTTTGCCTTTGTCTGATTATAATATCTATTGGGGGTTTTTGGGCAATAACTTGTAGACTTTTATTACTGGTAGTGCGGAATGCTCTAGTGATCATCATTAGGGCACGCCTTTGTGAAGATATTAATTTCCTCCTAATATGTACTTTACTTGTGGAACAGCCCCAAGTACCGCAAGCATAAGTAATAATTGGTATATATATACCATCATATATAATGTTCATAGCTCCAGCAGAGAGCCCCCAATCTCTCTTTGCTATTTGTGAAAACGAATTTAATACCAGCCCAACACGATCTGTTATATATTTTATGTGGTCATTCCAACCTAATCTATAATCTAAAATAACTCCCAGGTATTTCAGTGTTTTATTAACATGAATGGTATTGTTGTTCATTTTTAATAAAGGTAGCCTTAAATATAAGTTTTGCTTTCCAGGTTTATTAAAGACAATTGCCTTAGTTTTAATATGGTTAAATGATAATTTATGTTTGTTTCCCCAGTTACACACGTTCTGTAGCATATCATTACCTTTATTTTCTAATTCTGTCCTGGACTTGCCACCAATCAACAGCATGACATCATCTGCATATGCGAAGCATTTCGTATATCCAAAGTTTTCAGTCAGGAATGCATTAAAAGTTATATTCCATAAAAGAGGTCCACATACGGAACCTTGTGGACAACCTCTAGTAATTGTCTTGCGAACCTCATGCTGACCATACTGTAGTATTGCTTCACGTTGGCGTAGATAATCGTGCATTATTCTTTGGATATTACTTGGGCAGTTGATCTTACGTAGTTGAAACTTAACTAGGGGCCACCAAGCACTATCAAATGCTTTTGTTATATCTAAGCTGACCCCTAGTACGTATTTGTAGCTATCAAGTAGTGTTTGAACGGATTGAACCATGCTTTCTATTGCCATTTCAGCAGATTTTTGAGGCCTAAATCCGTATTGTGCATCACTTAGATAATTGTTACTTTCAACATGCCAAGATAATCTATTCGTTATTAATCTTTCTAGTATTTTACCAAGTATAGGGAGTAGTGAAATTGGTCTTACATCATTTTGTGACCCAGGCTTTGGAACCGGTACTATCCTAGCAATTTTCCAGGCCCGAGGGAAAATAGAATGTGTTAAACAGGTGTTATATAGATTAATTAAGTGGTTAGGGATTAATAACCATAACTTTTTAGCAAGTTCAGGAGTAATGTCATCTGGTCCAGGGGCTTTACCAGAGTGTAAATTACAGAATGCCAGGTTTATTTCTCTGTCAGTGAAATGTGGCGCGTCCTCAATGTGGTTAATAATCTCTGAATCTAGGCGAATGTCTTTTTGAAAATTCGAGTCTTCTTTAGGGTTGTCACTAGGACAAAAAACCTCTAATTTTTTGGTAAGTTCTCGAATTAAAGTGGTTGGTTTATCAGTATCATTGGTGGAGTATGTCATGATTTTTGCTTTTCGTAGTTTGTTACTACACATTTTTGTCAGAAATCCCCAGGGGTTGCTGGATGCTTTAGTACAAAACGTACGCCAGCTTAATGTTTTTTCTTCTTTAATTGCAAGTTTGTATGTTCTTTGACAGCTAAGATAATTATTCCTATGATGCTCTCTTAGTAGATCATTTCTGCATCTCTGATAAATTTTTCTCAATTTTCTTGTGGTCTTACGCAGTTGTTCTAACTTAGGTGTCCACCAAGGTACTGATCTTCTACTAGACGTCCCTTTAGGGATATTAAGTTCACAAGCCATAGAAATAATTTTTATATTTTTATCAATTTGATTTCTAGCTTCAAAAGAATTCTCCGAATAAATAGAATCTAAATTATTTTCAAGATAATCTTTCATAGCAATCCAATCTGCTATATTTATTATATATTTTAAACGAGGTGCATATGCAGGAGTGAGTCCATCCTCTGAACCAAGAATATCAAAAGTGATGTAAGAATGCTCAGTCAGACTATCGTCATCTAGAACTCTCCAATTAATAATTTTATTATATAGATTTTTGCTACAGACGGAAACGTCGATCCAACTTTCACCTCTATGTGAGGTAAAAGTTGGTGGAGAGAAAGGGTTATTCATAATCTGAAAGTCATTGTGCCCAAAAAAGTCCTCGAGCAATCCACCACGATTATCCAATTTATTACCTCCCCAGGTAGGTGAATGTGCGTTAAAATCACCAGCCAAAATGAAATAAGAACCTTGGAAGGCGTTGATAATATTTTGTAAATTATTAATAAAGTTATTTGAATCGACTTCCCCAGGGAAGTAGATGTTAATTATTATAATTCTATTATTGTTAATTAAAGTTTCTATAGTGATAATATTCTGACAGCTATAGTTTGGATGTAAAATGATAGATAAATTGGTGTTAGGAATTAGGGTGGCAGCCCAAGGATAGTTGGTGGTACCAATCAGCACAGGACAATACGTGGGTAAACAAGCCGGGGTGTTTTTATGGCAATAAGGCTCTTGGACTAAAACAATATCATAATTATTTATTTTCTCACTTAAAATAGAGGTAGAAGTAATGCTTCTGCCGATATTTATCTGTAAAATGCTAATCTTGTTGTAATCAGTCTGTGCCATATTCGGTTCTGGAGATAATAAATTTCCTAAGGCGCTGATTCATAGGGCATATGCCATCACGAGCGTTATGAGTATGACTTCCAGTATGATCAAGTTGGCAGTTACAACATACAGGTTCGTATTCAAAATTTGGACAATCTTTATATAGGTGTTCCCCAGCACAGTGACTACAGGTATAATGTGTTTGTGTACATTCTCTTGTAGAGTGGTTATATCCACAGCATTTGAAACATTGCAGGATCGGACAGAAGTCACTGACCCTGCAACGTGACCATTCAATGTTAATTTTATCCATTCTTAACAACAATTTTCTTACATATGGGGAAACCACAAAGATCCAGTTCTTGTAAGTGGCATTCCTCTTTCCTGTGGTGAACTTTACTCTAAATTGCTTGGCAAATTCTTCAGCCGAGATATTATCACTTATTATTTGGTTTTGTTGATATATTAATATCGGCAACTCTTCTTTCCTTATATCTGAGTGAATTGAATATACAATTATATGGGGCCATTTCTTCTTTGGTCGATGAGTAACCAATTCAAGAATTTGTTCTTCTATAGTTTTTTCCAGTAAATTTAAATCTCTTTTGTTTCCCAATTCAACAGCTATTCCACCTCCTCGGACTTTGCGTAATTTTTCAATGCCAATATGCATATTGGAAGGTTTTAGTTTCATTTGCATCAGTTTTCGAACCACGTCACTATTAGTATTATTTTTATCACTATTGTAAACTAATAATACCTCTTTAGTAGGTAAGA